ATACACAGACTCAAAGTAATCACCCTACAGGTAGATGATATGAACAGTTTACAAAAAAATACTAATAGCCAATAAACATGTAAAAAGGTATTCAACCTCACTCATACTTAAAGAAATGCAAAGCAAAATAATGGGGAGTAACTGCTAATAGGTACAGGGTTTCTTTTTTGGGGTGATGGAAATATTCTGGCATTAGATAGTGGTGATGTTTGTACAACTCTGTTAAAATACTAAAGACCACGGAATTGTACAATTTAAAAAGGTGAATTTTATGGCATGTGAATTATATCTCACATTTAAGTAGTGGTAAAAAAATAAATTGACCAAACGACATTAACAAAATGATATAGGACTTAAAGGAATAGCATGAATCATAGTTAGAAAAATCAGAAATGAGGTGACAGAACCCAATAAAGAATTAGAAGAATATATTTTATAAACTAAGACTAAAGTAAAAGGAACACAAGAACTAATAAATTCGACACATAATGCTTTAATAAAAATTGAAGGTGAAAAGGAAGAACCCTTTAAAAATCAAAATAAAAAAGAAATGAAAAGAATTTGAGAAGCTGACTGGTATTGAAGATAAGCAAAGATGATACACATATAGAAAAAAGAAGTTCCTAAAGAAGAAAACCAAAACAAAGGCAGGAAACGAATGCAACACTGTAATTCAAGAAAACTACAGAAATTTAGAAAAGTGCAATGCTATATACTGAAATAGTGCATCATGTACCTGAGAACATTAACCTAGGATGACCTACTTCAAGGCTTATTTTAGTAAAAATATTGGATATTAAAGAAAAAAGAAAACATTCCTTGGGTGTCTAGGCAAAACCAAAAACAGGACCTTTTATAAGGAAAATAATATTATGTTGCTACACTGATAGCAATGCTTTATTCCAGGAGAAAATAGCATAACATGTTTAAGATATCAAAGAAAGAACATGTGATCTAAGGATTTTGTATTCAGTAGAATTGACTTTCAAGTATAAAGGGGATAGCAAGCAGCTATAAACATGAAAGAACTCAGAGAATGTTGCTCCCAGGAGATGTAAGAAATTTAGAGAATGAGGTTCAGACAACCAGAATAACTAGAGATTACAGTAATGTGATGGCTATATGATCTGATGATGAAGATAGATTAAACATTAAAAAATATAAAAAAATTTAGATTGTATACTTCCAGTATATTTCTGAACTCTCTATTTTGTTCCATTAATCTATTGTGTCTGTTTTTACACAAATATCATATTGTCTTGAATACTGTTGCTATATAAGTCTTGATATCAGGTATTATAAGTATTCTGATTTTGTTTTCTATCTGGGTTGTTTGGCTATTCTAGATCCTTAGCATTTCTATATAAATTTTAGAATCTGCTTGTTAATTTGTGCAAAAAAAGCCTGCTAGGATTTTGGGACTGGGTAGAATCCATAGGTCAATTGGGGGAGAATTGGCATCTTAATAATATTGAGTCTTCTGACTAATAGTTTAACTCTCCCTTTATTTAGTTCTTCTTTAATTTTCCTTATCAATGTATTGTGGTTTCAGCATACAAATATTGTACATATTTTGTTAGATTCATCTGTAAGTATTTTGTGATTTTGATGCTATTGTAAATGGTACTGTTTTTTAAAATTCCAATTTCAATTGTTTATTGCTGTTAAATAGAAATATAACAGATTCTTGTATATTGACCGTATGTCCTGTGACCTTAATAAACTCCCTTATTAGTTCTACTAGCTTTTTTGTAAATTATTTGGGATTTTTTATGTACACAGTCATATCATCTGTCAATAAATGTTGCTTTATTTCTTCCTTTCCAGTCTATATACTTTCATTTTTCTTTCATGACTATTACATTGCCTAGGACCTCCAGTAAAATGTTGAATAGAAGTGGTAAGAGGACAATCTTGTGGGGGAAAGAATTCAGTTTTTGCCATTAAGTATGATGTTAGTTATAGGGTTTTTTGTAGATGCCTATTATTAGGTTTCAGAAGTTCCTTATATTCTTAATTTGCTATGAGATTTTGTCATGCATGGATGTTGGATTTTGTTGAATTCAGGCTAAGGCTCTGGGAAGGCAAAAATTTCCGTGATAATAGAATGTAGTTATAATACATTGTAGAAGTGACAATTGTCAGCATATTGCCAATAGTGGAAAAATGTGGTATTGGTGTTTTGTTAGTTGGCTCTTTGGTTTAAGGAATATTCTAGAAACATTCCAAAAGACATAATGCTTGTCCAGTTGCTTTTATGTAGTAAATAACTCAACAAAATGCTTTTAAACCACAATACTTACTCATTAAGCATTTGAAATATTTTCACAAAAGTTAAAAATGATATGAGGTCCAGAGAATGCACTTGGGGAATATCTATTTACATATTCAAATGTTTGAAACCTCTTCCAGAATCCAGATGCCTGCAATAAGCTGCCTTTAAAAAGTGCTGCCACATGGACAGGCAGTTCAATTGTCATACATGGTGACAACGAATGTTCTACATGTTTATTATCCAGTAGAAATATGCGCGCCACATTGATAATTAAAATTTTTATAACAGACACATTACTAAAATGGAAAAGAAACAGGTGAAATTAATTTTAATAGTATATTTTATTTAATGCAAAATATCCAAAATATTATCAATTCAATGTGGAGTCAATATAAAAAATTACTGAGATATTTTACATTTTTGCCCTGTTTTCTAATAGTATGTGTATTATTGAATGAAGTATGTATTTTACACTTAAACCACATCTTAATTTGGACTACCCACATTTCAAGTGCTCCTGGACAGGACAGTTCTATTGTTCCCCAGCTCTCAGTCATTTTTTGAACCCTTTGGAGGCAAGAAAATCAGTGTGTCATTGTAATAATGTCCAAATGCCCTGAGCCGGTACACACCATACATCATTACTGCCATCTTTTGGGGAGTCAGTCCATTAAAAGTAACAGCCATATCTGAACAGCAGCCTTCTACTACTTGCCCACGGTTATTAGACATATGTTCCTGAATAAGATGTACAATTGATTTTGTATTAAACACATCTCTTCCTTCATTATCCTCTGCATTTTCTGCAATAACTCCTGCATATTTCAGGCAAATTGCCAGCTGCTTATCTTCAGATAACTTCCAAATCACACTTTGATCTGCACAGTTTTCAGAGTTATTGAGAAGTCTGTTCAGCCTTTTCATTGACTCTATGCTTAAGACAATTCCTCCTTCTATAGTCACAAATTCGAGGTCTCCGGATGTAACAGTGTGGCCCAGATAAAAGGGTTGTGATGCGTTCCTTCTGAACAGAAGGTACTTTAAATTTTCAATGACAGCAAACGTAGTGGGAAGTGCAAGAAAGAACCAGTTGAAGTTGTTGCCATACTTCTCAAAGATGTATCTGTAAGTTCTCCTCATCTGTAGCCACTTGTCATTTCTTTCTATACCATAGACATAGAGTTCTGACTTGTCACAGTGCTTGGTCCAAGTCTCTTTCAGTACAGTCCGGTAACTCTCATCTTCAGTTTCTCCAAAGATGATACAGAAAACACGGATACTTTTACTGAGCTCCATAAATGTCACTTCTGAAATATTTAAGAAATCTTTTCTGTTAGTTGGGCGAAGGTGATGGTGCTTGTGGTCCCCAGTTTGACCTCCGTGTCGCATGTGAATTTGGCCAAACGTAGTTATCAATATCCAGGAAATGCTCCCAAGCAACACACCCTTTAAAAATGAGGCTCCACTAGCAGAAACCATTTTCCAGGCGTTGAGCACAGGGCGCGCCGGTCAAGCGCAGCCCAGGATCTGGTCGGGTGACCCCAGGCGTCGGGAGCGGCCTCGCTCCCCGGTTGGGTCGCTCTAGCTGCGGGAGGCCGCTTCTCGGTGGTGTCGAGAAGTGGGCGGGGCAGGGGCCGGATGTGTCGCCCACTGTGTGTGGGACCCCCGACAAATGCGAGTTTCAGGTACACAGGAAGTTCTGGGCGTCTGAACGACCAACCAACGATAACGCTGAAAAATGATCTTAGATCGAGGCCCAGGCGGCTCTAAAGTTGGCCAGACTTCAACACTGAGAAAAACTAAGAATTTGAAATTGTTTTACCTCATGGTTTGTGTGTATTCAACACCTGCTACACATCCTGGGTTCTTCTTAAAGGTTTTAAATTTTCAATAATATTCATTTTAGTATTTGTGTGTGGGGGGGTGTTTAATCAAATAATCTCTTCTATACTCTTTCCATTGATCTATAGGAATATAAAACTACTCAGAATCTGGATTTAAATTTACAATCCATGGAATTTATGAAAGTCCACCACTTCCCTGATATTGTGACTTTTTTTTTTTTTTTTAAGAGGCAGGGTCTCATTCTGTTGTCCAGGCTGGAGTGCAGTGGTGTGATCGTAGCTGATTGTAACCTCAAACACCTGCCTCAAGCAATCCTCCCACATCAGCCTCCTGAGTAGCTGGGACTACAGAACTACACAACCATGCCTGGCTAATGTTTTTAAAATTTATTTTTAAATTTTTTTGTTGAGACGGGGTTTTGCTGTGTTGCCCAGGGTGATCTCAAACTCAAATTCCTGGGCCCAAGTGATCCTTCCACCTTGGACTCCCAAAGTGCTGGGATTACAGGCCTGAGCAACTGTGCCCAGCCTCATTGTGACTTTTTGATTGACACATCAAATATGACATTTGAACTCTTAGTTTTCTCTTAATTTTACTGGTCTTAATATGTGTTCACTAGTCTTTTCCCAATGAAGAAAATTCTGTTGATGAATACTCGTATTATATATATTATATTATACTAAAAGTATCAAAACTTTGGCATTTTGTTTGGTCAACCTTTAACTTGGCAAAGAGCCTTTAATGCACTAACAGTATGTAAGCCGTATCCAGTGAACTGCTTTAAATATTCTTGAATTGATAACATTGTGAGATTTTTAAGTTTTTTTCAAAACGGGAAATATGAAATTTTATATTATTTATATTTTTCCTCACCTGACAGATGCAGCAGCTTGAGAGACAAGTTATTGATGCTGAACGTCAAGCAGAAAAAGCTTTTCAACAGGTAGAGTATAATTTTAGTTTAAAATTTTTCTGCTTCTACACATATGAAGATTGTTTGCCCACAATAGAAGGATAATTGTCAGCCCTCCTCTGTATCTTATCATTTTGACTATTCATAAGTCCGATCCATAGAGGAAATGGAAAATCTAACTCTATTTTGCCCATTAACAAATTTTCAAAAGAGAAAAAAAAATGGCTTCCATTAGGAAGTTTTATCTGACTTCTAAGAAAATCAAATATGACTTTTATGATAATCCTAACTATAATTAAGTTTTATATATAAATATGTTCATAGCAGCTGTATTTATAGTAATAAAAAGTTGGAAATAATACCAATACTATATTATAGAGGAATGAATAAGTGAGCTGTATCAACTCCATGAAATATTAAATAACCATTAAGATAATTGTTACCAAGGATATGTATTAATATGTAAAAATGCTTAGAATCTATTAGGAAAACTCAAACCTAAGAGTTAAAAAAAGGCTGAGAGGAAACACCTCAAAATTTTAACAGAAATTTAGGTTCGTTTTGACAGGGAAAACCATCGGGTGCCCTGATGTGGCTGCTGGCCTCCTCCCGGCCACTCTACATCCCCATAGCCCAGTGCCCGGTGCTGCGGCTAGAGGACTCGGGGTACCTGCCGCTAGGGTGGGGCCTGGCGTGCCCATGCCTGCTGTCTGGGCCAGAGTGCTGGTGGGGGCTGCCTGCTCACATCCTCCTGCCACACTGGCTGCGCCATCTTGATTGGATACTTTTTGAATCCCACTGTTGCTGATTGGATGTTAAAGTTTGTTGCTGATTGGATGCTTTTTGAGTCCTACCAAGGGTATAAAAAAAGGAGAACAAGGAAGGAGGTTCAGAAGTCAGCTGAGCCTGCTGAAGGGGTAAGGGCTGTTCTCCAGCTCTCCGTGTGTGGCTGGGTTCTTTCCCTGATCATGAGCTGTTACCCTGGCTGTTCCACAAGAGCTGTAACACTAGCTGTACACCTTGCTGTAGCAGTTTGAATTGTGGAATGATTTTTTTCCCCCTATATTTTCATACTTTACAATTTTTTAATACTACTTTTGTTTTTGTTTTTTTAAATGATGTTTTGTTAAGTCACTTAACCTTTCCTGGGCCTTGCCAGCAGTAAAATGAATGGTTTGTATGGGCCCACCCAGCCTTAAAGTTTATCTAATGATAAATCCATAGATACTCATATTCAGTTGAATCAATGAGTTCTAGTGTTCTGCAGCACTATAGAGTAAATATAGTTAAGTGTCTTTTATTGTATATTTTCAAAAAGCTAGAAGAAAGGAAAGCAAAAAATAAAGGGAAAAAAATAAAAAACTTCAGAAGGCTTAAATACAAAATTATTTCTTCTAAGAAGTATATATAAATTTCTTGTGCTTCCTCTAGATTTGTCATGTTTCCTTCCTTAACTTGAGTACTACCAAATCTTTGTTTTCACCTGAAAGACTGAATTTTACACAGACTGTTTGGGTGGCCTAACAAATTTCTAAACAAGCCAAATGTGTCCTAATCCTTGATTTTCTTTCTTTCTTTCTTTCTTTCTTTCTTTCTTTCTTTCTTTCTTTCTTTCTTTTCTTCTTATTTTTCTTTCCTTATTCTTCTTTCCTTTTTTTTTCTTTTCTTGAGACAGAGTTTCACTCTGTCACCCTGGGTATGGTACAGTGGTGTCATCACAGCTCACTGCAACCTCAAACTTCTGGGCTCAAGTAATCCTCCTGCCTCGGCCTCCCAAGTAGCTGGGACTATAGGCCTGTGCCACCAAGCCTAGGATCTCCCGCTGTTGCTCAGGCTGGTTTCCAACTCCTGAGCTCAAGTGATCCTCTGCCTCAGCCTCCCAGAGTGCTAGAATTATAGGCCTGAGCCACTGTCCCCTGCCTCCTTGATTTTCTTAATGATACTTGAAAAGAAAATCTTAAAACTTTATTAGACAAAACTTCACATACAAGAGTAGAGAAAAACAGCATAACGAGCCCCCATCACCAACTTTAACAATTAGTCAACTCGTGGCTCATCTATACCTCCACTCACTTTTTCCCTTCACCCACCTCTGCACTGGATTATTTTCAAGCAAATCCCAGACATTGTATAATTTCACCTGTGAGTATTTCAACAACTAATCTAAAAGTAAAGACTCTTAAAAATCATGACTACAATACCATCATCACATCGAAAAATTACCCATAATTCTTCAATATGTCAAAGATCTAGTCAGTACTCAGATTTCCCCAAATATCTCATAATTGCTTCTGTGTTTTGTTTTTTAATCAAGCTGAAGTTTACATAACAGTATTAACCATTTTAAAGTGAACATTTCAGTGTTGTGCAATCACCACCTATATGTAGTCCCTAAATCTTTCCATCACCACAAAAGGAAACCTTTTACCACCCATTAAGCATTTAGTTCAATTTCCCTGTCCCTCTAACCTTTAGCAATCACCAATCTGCTTTCTGTCCCAATGGATTTATGTATTCCGGATATTTCATATAATTGGATTCATACAATATGTGATCTATAATATCTGGCTTCTTTCATCTAGCAGAATGTTTTCAATGTTCATCCAATGTTGTGGCATCTATCATACTTTATTCCTTATTATGGCTGAATAATGTTCCATTGTGTGTGTATGTGTATACATACATGTATATGAGGGCTGTCTCGAAAGTATCCAGCCATGTAACCATTCTTGTTATATTTATAATGGCTGAATACTTTTTGGACAGCCCTTGTATATACCATGATTTGTTTATCCATTTATCTATTAATGGACATTTGACTATTGTGACTAGTACTGATATGAACATACGTGTACATGTATTTGAGTACTGGTTTTTTAATTCTTTTATATACCATTTTCTGTTGTTCTTAATAGTTGGTTTGTTCAAGTCAAGATCTAAACTAGATTGTCAAATTTCACTTGATTCTTAAACTCTTTTAATCTATAGGGTCACTTTATTTTTTTGTTTTTTTTCTTTCAATTTATTTGTTGACAAAATTGGGTTTATTTGTCTTCTAAAGCTTTCCATATTCTGGATTTGCTGATTGCATACCTATGGTGTTATTTAACACATTCCTTTACCTCTGTATTTCTCGTAAAATATAGTTAGGTCTAAACACTTGAATTTTTTCCTTGTCTCTTACTTTTTTTCCTTTCTTTTTCTCTCTTGTTTTTTTCAAGACTTCTTGGGTGGTATAGTATACTTCCATCCAGAGGAATATAATCTCTATCTTTTCTTTGTGATATTAACATTCATTGATGATCTTGCTTAGGTCAGTTATTTCTTCAGGGAGGTTATTGCTTTTTAAAAAGTAGACTTTAATTTTTAGAGTAGTTTTATAGCAAAATTAGCTGATAGTACCAAGTAGTGATTTCCCCACTTGTACCTATAAAAAGATAATAATTAACAGTAAAATCATAAAAGACTACTTAAATTCTATGAAAGACACTTATGCTTATGTCATCCTCTGTCACTCTATACCAGATCTTTGTCTTCTCTGCAGGGTATGTTCCTGTTCAACCCCGCACCTTGCAGCACACACATTTGTCAGTTTATCTGCCTCTCTGACTTTGATGTCTCCCTCCTTGTCTTTCCTTTCTAAGTTTAGCTTTTGCTAGTAATGTCTCTCTTTACCTCTGAACCCAGGGCTGTCTCTGTATGTCTCTGTCTGTTCTTTCTTACCTTGTTCTTCCCTTCCTTTCTCTCCTTTGATTGTCCAGATTATAGGAAAAAGAGACAGAAATTGAAGATGGTTTTATTTTGCCTTAATTTAAATTTCTTGGCCAGGTGCGGTGGCTCACACCTGTAATCTTAGCACTCTGAGAGGCCAAGGCGGGCGGATCGCTCAAAGTCAGGAATTCAGAACCACCCTGAGCAAGAGTGAGACCCCGTCTCTACAAAAAATAGAAAGAAAATTAATTGGACAACTAAAATATATAGAAAAAATTAGCCGGGCATGGTGGTGCATGACTGTAGTCCCAGCTGCTCGGGAGGCTGAGGCAGGAAGATTGCTTGAGCCCAGGAGTTTGAGGTTGCTGTGAGCTAGGCTGACGCCACGGCACTCTAGCCCGGGCAACAGAGTGAGACACTGTCTCAAAAAATAAAAAAATTCAAAAAACAAATTTCTTAATTCATATATATGTCAAATCTGTTTTTGAAAATTAAACTAAATTAAGTATTTTTTATTTGTGATTTTCAACTAATCCTCCCCCATTCACTGGATCTTAAGAGGTCCAATGGGGAGTCTTAAAAAAAGAATCCCTGTTCTCAATGCAAAGAAAGCAAACCACGGCAGTTTGTTCCATCAGGGCCCAACTACTGGTCTTGATAAGTTTAACAGGAAGAATTTGCCCTTATTTTAAGTAGTCCTTTGAGGATATCAGGTATAAAGTTATTTAATTCTATGTACTGCATCTTTAAGGAAAAAAACACCATGATTGATTATTTTAAACATATTGCCTTAAATCAAAACAAAACAAAAAAGAGAAAATTTCAAATCTCCCAAATTTCTATTTATATAAGTTAGCAAAATCTGTGGAATTTTTTTTGCCACAACACTTTGAATTTATTTAGTACTTATTTTGTTACACTACAGAAGGATTTTATTAATATTTCCTGTAAATAATAATCAATCTAAAAATTGGCAGGAAATATAAACAGGATGCAAATGAATTCTCATGTACTGCTAATGTCTCCTATTTTGGCTTTTATAAGACTGAGTGTTATTAACTTAAAGTAAGCTAATCCTTTGCTATCTTTAACAATTTCTATGGAATTGTGGCCTATCTGTTGTTTATGTTGCTTAAGTTCACATTGTCTTTTCTCATTGAACCATATTCTAAGACTTAAATAACTGTATTTTTGTTAACCAAAAAGGGATGTTTCACCACCAAAAGCAAATATTGAAACTTTGCTTTTGGTGGTGAAACATCTCCTATAGTCAAAGCATATGGAATAAAATCAACAAAAGGGCTGGGCACAGTGGCTCACACTTGTAATCCCAGCACTTTGGGAGGCCAAGGCAGGAGGATTACTTGAGCTCAAGAGTTTGAGATCAGCCTATAGCGAGACCTTGTCTCTACAAAAAATAAAACAATTAGCCAGGCATGGTGGCACATGCCTGTAGTCCCAGCTACTCAGGAGGCTGAGCCCAGGAATTCGAGGCTACAGTGAGCTATGATTTTGCCCTGGTACTCCAGCCTGGGTGACAGAGAGAGACCCTGTGTCTAAAAAAAATAAAATAAGGCACATAGGGTGGTGGCCAGAAGAAATGAGGTACAAGCTTCCAGTTGTCCTCGTGCAGTAGGGTTGCACAGGAACGTGCTTAATCCTCCCATCAATGATGTGTGATAACATGTATGATGTATTGCCAGCCAAGGAAGCTCACCCAAGTCTTGGTGTCCAGGATTTTTATTGGAGTTCAGTCAGCCTGGAGTACCCACATGACTGACCTTAGTTACTCAGTCTCCAGTGGCCCCCTCTACCCCTGCACCCAGAGGTTAATATGATACAGCATGGCCCAGGGACCCAGGTGAACAAAAACAGGCATTCGCCATAATCAGATTGTTACCATAAACTATCTGGTGTGGCCCAAGTTCTCAGGTATACAAAGCCAGTCTTATCTGTTAGGATATTCCAAAGGTTCAGAGGTTGTCTCCCAAGAGCCAGTCAAGGGCCAGTCTGTTTCTTTGGAATGTGCAGGATCTGAGTACCCCAAATCTGCTGAGTTAACCTTTTGCTAAACTGGTACTTAGGGACCTCAGGATCAGGAAGGTTTTGGGGAAATGGCTGAGGAGTGTGCTGAGATGGGTGGATGCAACTAGAGGCTGTCCTAGAAGTAAAGGAGAAAAGTAGGCTAAAAACACAAAGCATTCCACACTAGGGGGTATCCATGTATAGATAATTGTGAATTGTATTTAACAACCAATTTGAATTCATAGGTGTTTGTTATTGGTAAGTCTTTTGAGTAGTTAGAATTCTTATATGGTTCAGGTTAAATGAATGGAAAAAGAACTGGGCTATTTTCCTTGTGTTTGTGGTGAGACATTTTAAAAGGCTGCTTGGTTTTTCTACAGGCCTCTTAGCCTCTCTGTAGACCTCTTATTCATACTAATCTCCAAGGAAGGCTGGTGAGTCCTGTGTAACTTGGCCTTAACAGGACCAGTTGTTAAGTAGGTTTCCTGTAACTACTTTGGGTTATCTTTCCCTAAGAGATTTTGCCACTTTTGCCAATATTTTTCTTGCCTAGAAAAGTTGTTTATCTAAAAGTAATGATCTAATTAAAAAGTTTCAGATGGCAAAGATGCATCCAAGGAGCTCTGTACCATTCATTCGTAAAATGAACATGTTTTTCAGGGTGGTAGTTCTAAATCATAGTTTTCTGGAACTATAGACCCTTCCTAAGTAATAATAGGACAGTTTTATGTTGCAACACAATGTCTACAGGGTGCCTTGCTTCAACTTAAAAAAAGGAGACTGCACATATAGGTGTGGTAATATTTCTTTTAGTCTTACTCAGTTACTTTTGTTTTTCTTGAGGTTTACCTTCTATTACTCTTTCCTCAGAGGAGAACTACTATTTTGGAGTTGGCCTCTGCTCTTCTTTCTCTGCTTCCTCAGCTGCAGAATGCCCTGTGTGCAACTGGCTGTACCATCTTAAGATTACTATCCAATTCTCTATCCTGCTTGGGCTGTTTCGTGTGACAGTATCTCTGATGCAGACCTTTGTCCTTGATGCAGATCTTTGTCTTTCTGCTCATGCAGAAAGCCTGCTATATTATGCCAAAGAATCTAAGGTAACTTAAATTATCATTTGGACAATGGAATACTTTTTTAATTCTATTTTTTGATTTGCTTTTATTTTCATGGTTTTCTGCCATCGTGGGTGGTATTTAAATAGAACAGTTTTGGCATCTGAGTTGAATTTACATTTATACAGTGAAGCCACAGATGAAACCTGGTATTCATGGTTAAAAAAATAAGACCAAAGTAATCTTTACACCTTCCTTCCGAAAACCCTCATTAGTTCAATATTTTTGAACATTAAGTAAGGATTCATTGCGATTTTTCAGGGATATTTTTAATAATTTAAGATTTTTCATCTTAACTATTAGCTTTAATTTCTCAACTGCTTTCACTTTCTTTTTCTTCTTTGCCCCTGTAATCCAAATATTAATGAAATTATATTCTTACCTATTTGGAGTATATAGGATGAAAGTCTTAATATTGTATGTAGTCCCCACTACTTTATTTTCTTTCTTGCTACTATTAATATTACACACATTCCTTATTTGGACCTCCTTGTAAAATCTCTGGTGAGGCATTCAATCCACTAGACAAACTACGATCAAGGATCAGCTTTGTCATTCACAGAATGGTGAGAAAAATGAGAACTAAAAGGTGGTGATAGTAAAATCTAAAGTTTACTATGAGTCGAATAGACTTATATAATCCATGTAGGTCAGCAATACAATATGCAAATATGCCCTTTTAAGATTTCCTGTGCCCAAAATGAGTTTTGCAGAGGTTCCAAGTAGAGCCATTCTATCTTAGGTATTAAAATTGAGGCACCACTCAACCTCCAGCCACACACCAGATCTCTCTTTTTTTTTTTTTTGTAAGACAGAGTCTCACTGTTGCCTGGGCTAGAGTGCCGTGGCATCAGCCTGGCTCATAGCAATCTCAAACTCCTGGGCTCATGCACTCCTTCTGCCTCAGCCTCCTGAGTAGCTGGGACTACAGGCATGTGCCACCATGCCCGGCTAATTTTTTCTATATATATTAGTTGGCCAATTAATTTATTTCTATTTATAGCAGAGACAGGGTCTTGCTCTTGCTCAGGCTGGTTTCGAACACCCGACCTCCAGCAATCTGCCTGCCTCGGCCTCCCAGAGTAGGATAACAGGTGTGTGCCACAGCGCCTGGCCCACACCAGATCTCTCTTACCCTGTTCTGTTTTTTCCCATTACCCTTATCACTTGTGTAAGGTACTATACTGATTTTTACGTATGATCTCTGTGATCCATTAGAATGTATTTGCTATGCAGTAAGACATTTTTGAGTCTATTTTATTCACTGTTGCCTTCCCAGGGCTTGGAATATGCCTGGCAGTTGGAAGGTATTTAATGAATATTTGTCAAATGAATGAATCAATAAGCTCTCACTGAATGTACTCCCCCATCTATATCTAGACTCTCATACTTTTTAATTTTTTTATGATACCATCATTTGGGGCTTTTAAGGTTCTTTTTTACCCCCTTTCCATTGTGTATATGTTTCTTTTTCTTCTAAGTTCAATATTTTTTTCCAAAATATGTTATTATACCAAGTTATCTGATGTGAGTCTTATCTTACCACTCATCTTCTTTACTTTATATTCCTACTTAGTTTAAATATGAAAAAATGAGGGCTGGAAACTTTCTGTTTCTATACTTGTATAAACACTTTGCATATTATTGTTGGTCTGGGAAACATTTATTAATACATTATTACTTTATATGATAACAATAGTCTGAAAATCTTATGTATGTACTCTTATGTACTTCAAAGGTAACACCACTTGGCAAAATAGTCTTCAGACTTTATAATTATTAAATGTTAAAACTTGCTGTTTAATATTTTCCTTTTATGGTATCTTGTAGGAATCTATATAATGTTAAGTAAAATTCTAAGTTTCCCACTATGATAAATTAATACATGTACAATTTTAATATTTTGTCCTCTGAATTTAGGTACAAGTTATGGAAGAAAAGTTAAAAGCAGCTAATATCCAAACCAGTGAATCAGAGACAAGGTTATATAAAAAGTGTCAAGATCTGGAGTCTCTAATACAGGAAAAAGATGACATCATTCAAAACTTGGAACTACAACTTGAAGAGCAGGTTAGGAAGAATTTGATCATCGAAAGATTTCTAAATAAGTGTACTCATTTGTACATAACCACAAAGATTAGAAATCTTACTTATTCTGTCAACCCATAGGATTGCATCACATTTATTGGTGAAAGGTACAAGCAAAATGGTATTCACTTTAAGTTGGGGGAAATTCCAAGGCAAGATGAAACACTTTTTGAATGTGACGATGCTACTTAATATTAAACTTTAGAGCTTAAGTACAGTGTTTAAGTTGGAGATACTTGGTTATCAGCAGCCATATATGACCATAAATTGTTATTGTCAGGGTATTAGAAATATTTATATAATATTATATTTTAAATATTTTTGTTGGACACCAATCCTTCTGCTTAGAAATAAATGTGTATACCATTTCGAAACCACTTTAATGAAAACAAGTGTAGTGTTTATTTTATTTTAAAATTATATTAGAGTTATTTACTTAAATGGTCATTTAACATCATTTAAATATGACCACTATGTGATTGTTTTGTTAAATGTGTTAGATTGTTATTTATTTTCAGCATTTTTTTTTCTATTTCTTGGGGATCAGTGTTTCTTTAAGTCAATGGTTTTCAGCCTCCTACTACCCCCAGGCCTCACCCATTGTGATTATATGATAGTCACATTCTCAGTAGTTTTATGATCATAACCAGATTTTAAGGTTGATAAATGTGAGCTATAGTTTCTCAATGATTATTTTTCTTGTATCTTTGAAAGCTAGCATTTGAGGGGGGGGAAAGCCATGTTCCTAAGGAGGTTCTTATTCTCCTCTCCCTACCTTAGTTGACCCCTGTGCTACTGTTCTAAATCTGAGACCATTTCCAGAGATGGCTTATTTTGCTGGTAAACTCAGTGGATTGATTTTAGTGTGTAATCTTTCAGGGAATGAGAATAGCAGTTGTTAAAACTCGCAGTACTTGCAGTGGTTTATTATTGTATATGCTGGATAATTTTTTTCTTTTTAAAATTTGTTTGGTAATTTGTGGGTAGATGTATTAACTTGGAAACAGGTTTTAAGTGGATTTGCCTTGTATGTATGTGTGTGTGTGTGTGTGTATATATATATATATTTTTTTTTTTTTTTTTTGAGACAGAGTTTCACTCTGTTGCCCAGGCTAGAGTGCTGTGGCGTCAGCCTAGCTCCCAGCAATCTCAAACTCCTGGGCTCAAGCGATCCTCCTGCCTCAGCCTCCCGAGTAGCTGGGACTACAGGCATGTGCCACCATGCCCGGCTAATTTTTTTCTGTATATTTTTTAGTTGGCCAGTTAATTTGTTTCTATTTATAGTAGAGACCGGGTCTTGCTCTTGCTCAAGCTGGTTTCGAACTCCTGACCTTGAGCGATCCATCCACCTCAGCCTCCCTTAGTGCTAGGATTACAGGCGTGAGCCACCACGCCTGGCCTGCCTTTATGATGTAACTTTTCCAGACCATTAAGTTTATGTTGAACTAAACAATCTGCTTATTTTATTTCAGAAACAAATAAGATTACAAGAAGCTAAAATAATAGAAGAGAAAGCAGCTAAGATCAAAGAATGGGTAACAGTTAAGTTAAATGAGGTATTTATTGCTGCCTTTTTCCTTTTCTTTACCTTTTACTGCTTTTAAAAAAATAAATCTTCAGAATGTATGATTATTCTGAAGGAAACAAAAAATTTTGATCGGTTGATGGTGCTGCTGTCTCTTGGCCAAATTGGAATAGGTATCTTTCATTTCAGTATCCAGTGTATTTCTAAAATTAAACATATCAATAGACTCATGATGATCAGTGTAAATAGCCTCATTCTGATCAGTTAATTTTCATTCTAATTAGTTAATTTTAAATAATTATAGAATATATTTGTATATCTCACAAAATTAATGTATTTGGTATCTAAGGAGCATACATTATTTAGTGTATATGACTGTTTAATGCTGACATATTTTGGTTTAAAATAATTTTACAGTGGAAAAGGCATAGGGAGTGAAAACATTTAAAAGTCTTAGTTTTTGAAAAAATAAATGTTTTTTTTTGTTATTTTTTTGAGACAGAGTCTTACTCTGTTGCCTGGGCTAGAGTGCCATGGCATTAGCCTACCTCATAGCAACCTCAAACTCCTGGGCTCAAGCAGTCCTTCTGCCTCAGCCTCTCAAGTAGCTGGGACTATAGGCATGTGCCGCCATGCCTGGCTAATTTTTTCTATATATTTTTAGTTGGCCAATTAATTTCTTTCTATTTTTAGTAGAGATAGGGTCTCGCTCTTGCTCAGGCTGGTTTCAAACTCCTGACCTTGAGCCATCCGCCGGCCTCAGCCTCCCAGAGTGCTAGGATTACAGCATAAGCCACTGTGCCTGGCTGAAAAAATAAATGTTAATGCTGTAATTATCTAGATTGGTAGCCTGTGCTAAAAATTAATCTGATTTTTGCTTGTCATTTCTTCTGTATATTGCTTACATGTAGAGTAACTAGATGTTAACATTTTCTAAATATTATAATTTATTAGAACATTTTGAAAATGTTATCTCTATATAAAAGAACACCATTATATTCTTTTAGCTGGAATTGGAGAATCAGAATCTTCGTTTGATCAACCAAAACCAAACTGAAGAGATAAGAACAATGCAGTCAAAACTACAAGGTACAAATACTTTGACTAAGATAGCTTATTGGGATTTATTTGGCTATTTAAGATTTTACTCTTTTTTTCTGGTGTTTCAAAGACAGTTATGAACATCATACAAGAAGTTATTGTCATAAAATTAAAGAGAATTTCTAAACAAACCAGAACTCCTGCACCCAAGTGACTGTTGGGCCTGAAAATGGAAGACAAAAAGAGATAGGATTGATGATGTACAGGTCTTCTTAAGTGGTCACTACATAGGTCAAAAAAACATGACCAGATAACTCATTTTGCTTCTCTCTATTCTTAAAGGGTTTCTATCTGTCCCCGTTTCAGAACCATAATAAGTGCCAGAGAGTCCAACTTGCTGAAAGTACTATATGTTGACATTAAACCGGGAGGTCAGGGACCATTGTGCAGTGGGTTCCAACTAGAGTTGTGGAACCTGCAGTCTTGGGGCCATATGTGGCCTTCTGGATCCTTGGGTGTGGGCTTTTGACTGAATCCAAACTTTATTAAAATGATTTGTTCTGTAAAATATGGATTCAGTCAAGGAGCTGCACTTGGGGATCCAGTGGGCCACATGTGGCCTTGAGGCCACCTTACCACACCAGGTAGTGGGTTAAAAGTATTTGAGAGGCAAATACTCCAGAAGTCCAAGAAGACTTGAACTTTGGTCTCAGAAAGAGAATAGGCCCTTTTAGTGGGGATCAGGGAGTCACAGATATGGTACAATTGTAACTTCATTGAGGACTTTGGAGGAGACAGGCTCCTTGGCTTCACAAATACTGAACATATCACTGAACTTAGCATTCTTTGAGAGAAGCTCTGAGGCACTTCTGTATGTTCTTAGATGCCTGAGCTTATGGCTAGTTGAACATAGATGTCACAATTCAGACAGTTCACTTATGGCCTTTCCCCATTTGAGTTTTCTGGATAAGAATTTGAATCCTGTCAAATGGGAGTATCCATTGGCGATTTACCTATAAACTCAAGAATGTCAGCAATGAGATTGGCCTATTTAGAAAGACATGTACCTCCAGAGTTTTTTATAACTTTTGTCTGTTTGCAAATATTAAAAAGAATATTCCCCACTCTGGAGATAATTCACAAGAATATTTTACAAGCTCTGAAGTCACTTTTCTTTTTTTTTTTTTATTTCGGCATATTATAGGGGTACATATTTTAAGGTTTCAATAAATGCCCTTTCCTCCCCTCCCCCCCACAAGTTGGAGTCTCCAGCATGACCATCCCCCAGATGGTGCGCATCTCACTCATTATGTATGTATATATCTGCCCCCTCCCATTCCCCTCCCACCTGCCCAATACCCTATTACTGTAGTACCTATGTGTCCACTTAGGTGCTGCTCAGTTAATACCAGTTTGCTGGTGAGTATATGTGGTGCTTGTTTTTCCATTCTTGAGATTGAAGTCACTTTTCATAATTTAAAAGTTGGTAAAAGTTTTATTAGACTGTACTTTTAGTCTTCAAACTGTAGATCAGCACTTTTTAATAGAACTCTCTATGATGAGGGAATTATTCTATATCTGTGCTGTCCAAGATGTTGGCCACTACTGAGCACTTAAAATATGAGTAGAGCAACTGAGGAACTGAATTTCATATTTTATTTAATTTGAAGTGATTTAAATTTAAATTGCCATTTGTTATTAGTGGCTACCATATTAGGCAGCATAGCTGGACATTAGTGAATAACCTGAAGAAGATAACACTAATTTGAATATTTAATTTCAAGTATATTTGCTTAAAAAAAAGTAAACCAGTGATGTTATTTTCTGTTTTTGCTATGTATCATGGTTTTCAACAGTGATTGAAATTCTCACAGCCTGACTATTTTGAACAGTTTATGATATGAATAAAATGAATACATTTTTTTCAATGCATACGGTTACTTTCAACTTCAAAGCTTAAGTGTGGATGGCATAACTATCATCTGACAAAGGTTTACTTAGTCTCAAACTCCTGGCCTCAAGTGGTCCTCTAGCCTCAGCCTCTCAAAGTGCTGGGATTACAGGTGTGAGTCACTGTGCTCAGCTGAGATTTACTGAAACAATTAGTACAGTGTTCTGGCGATAGCCATTCAAATGAACATTGAGTTGAAAAGGAGGTGAATCAAGCAGAGTGTATGTGTAGTTCATGCTTAATAGACCCATGGCCTGGAATAGAGGTTTTCAAACTTTATTTAGCAACAGAACACCTTTTTAAAATAAATAAATATTTCTGTAGAATCTCAGTAGAAAAGACAGATAAAAGCAGCATTGAGTGATAGGTCCAGAGTTCTGCTGACTGAGCCTTACCCACAGCTCTTCTTTACTCTCTGGGACATTTCCACAAAGCTCTGCAGTTTCACAAAATACATTGGAAAAATACTGATATGATAGGATGAACATGGGCTTTGAAGTCAGCTTTAATGCCCTGCTTTTTAACAACTGTGTTATATCTCCAGAGATTGTTTTTCTCATTAGTAAAAACATCATCGTAATAGTGCCTTACTGGTTTCATGGGGGATTATATAGAATTGTTGATTATAGGGCATATGAAAACATTTTGTCTACTGCATGTTAATACTAACTGCTCTCATTTTCTCCACCTATATGAGAAAAAAATAGGTGTTCCTATAGTTGATCTGGAATTCTGTGTTTAGAACTAAAGTTTCAGGTCTGTGTGATAGTCACCCTTGTTGAAATAGATTAGATGTACTAAGCCCATTACCCAAAGCTTGTCATTTTCCCTGATATCCTTAGCTTACAATTCTAGTCTTCACTAGCAGCCTCTTAGGTCTTATAGAGTAAGAGGTATTAATCCTTGGAAACTAGGCTTGGACTTGAGAAGAATACATATAATGTAGTAATTTTAAAATATAGATGCATATATAGTTATTACAATATTATTGTGAGAGATGATCAACATAAAAATATTAAAAGATACATCTAAAGGAAAATACTATATAAAGATATTTTTCTTATACTGTACTCAGTTATCAGTTGCTATTTAACTTAATCCTTTGGTGCTCTCCTAGAGTTAAGAAATTTCCTTGGAAATTTTTCTTACTAGGATCACCATGCTTTTTGATCTTAAAAGCAGCAATGTTAAAAGTCCTAGAGATGAATTAAACCCATGATTAGGTGCTGATCTAATAATCACTCCACTAACTGTCTAAATTCTTTACCCCCAGCCCCTTTTTTTTCTCTAAAGAAGTGATTAAGGCTCTTTATATTTTGGTCCCCATAGACCCAGCCCCTCCATCTGCTTTCTTCTCATTACTGAAAACTAAGATAAGTAAAAGTCATTATAGTGATAATGTGCTACTTGCCCCAATGATGATCCAAATTTCCTTTGGTTGCTTTAACAAAGCAGCAACCCTTTTTCCTCACAGTTAGTGCCATACCACACAAATTTTACCAATACTTAACTGATATTTATCAACACTTGATTTTACAAGAAGTTATAACTCTCTAGTTATTTATAATCTGTTTTTTGTTTATTTTGATTGAGAACTAACTACTCTTAAAGGGATTAGATATTTTTCCTCTCTGCAGTTAAAAAATATTTTGAACATTCAAAATATATACAACAGGTTTTATTTATTTATTTATTTTTGAGAGAGGGTCTCGCTTTGTTGCTTAAGCTGGACAAAGTGCACTCATAGTTCACTGAAGCTCTTAACTCCTAGGCTCAAGTGATCCTCTTGCCCTGGCCTCCCAAAAAGTGCTGAGATTACAGGTGTGAGCCACTGGGCTGGTCCAGATTGTAAATATAGGCATGTGATGCTCATCATTGAAGGTTCAGTGTTTTTATATGTAAATAAAGATGAACTTCAGGTTTTTTTCTGGTATAAAGAGTGATTTTTTTCAGGTTTTTAATATGCTTTGGTTCTGTGTTTAACAAACTTCTATAAAAATATTCAAATCTTAATTTTGATTAATGACCTTGCAGAAATTCAAGGAAAGAAAACGTCCATTGTCTCTACACTGAAGCTTTCAGAAGGCCAGCGCCTGAGCAGTTTGACCTTTGGCTGCTTTTTATCTCGAGCAAGGAGTCCTCCTAAAGTAGTAAAAGCTGAGGAAATGCGCAAAATTTCATCTAAAGAACCTGAGTTCTCTGAAGGAAAAGACATAGAAGGTATTTATGGACTACAGGAATTTACTTTGGCAATTTTTTAAAGGACAAATCATTTGCTAAGATTAATCTAAATATAGTGTATTTTTTTTCTGACAACTTGGTATCTTATGAGAGTATTTCTAAAGAGCAATACAGCATTTAACTTTGTGTATGTAATTATTTTGTGTTTTCTGAGAGTCTTTGCCAGTGATGTGTAGGAGAAACTGATTTTCCATTTGTTTTTATTTATTTTAAAATTTTAGGCTGGGTGCAGTGGCTCACACCTGTAATCCTAGTGCTTCGGGAGGCCTAGATGGGAGGATTGATTGAAGCCAGGAGTCCGAGACCCCCCTTTCTACAAAAAATAGAATAATTAGCCTGGTGTAGTGGTGTGAGCCTGTAGTCCTAGCTACTTGGGAGCTGAGGCAGGAGGATCTCTGGAGCCCAGGAATTTGAGGTTGTAGCGAGCTATGATGACACCACTGCACTCTACCCTAGACAATAGAGCAAGACCTGTCTCAAAAAAAATTAATTATTTATTTGTTTATTTTTTGGGAGGGTCTCATTCTGTCGCCCAAGCTGAAGTAAAGTGCTGCAATCATAGCTCACTGCAACCTTAAACTCTTGGGCTGGAGTAATCTTCCTGTCTCAGACATCTGAGTAGCTGGGACTACAGGCATGAACCACCATGCCACCATTTCTATTTTTGTAGAGATAGGGGTCTCGCTTTGTTGCCCAGGCTTGTCTCGAACTCCTGGCCTCAGGCAGTCCTCCCACTTTGGCCTCCCAAAATGCTGAAATTACAGCCACCGCACTCTGCTGATTTTCCCTTCTTAATACTTTTCCCGCAGTAGGTGGAAGTGATATTTAAAAAGCGAGCTGCAGTGGCCCGTGCCTATAGTCCCAGCTACTCATGAGGCTGAGGCGGGAGAATTACTTGAGCCCAAGAGTTTGAAGCCAGCTTGGGCAACATGTCGAGACCTCATCTCTTAAAAATAAATACATAAATAAATAAATAAAAGTTAAAAGTTTATATTCCTATCTACAAGATGCTGTACTTGCTTTAGCTGAGTTTCAGATTAGAACTATGAATTTTCTTTTCATTATTTGTTTAAAATATAAAAAATTACCCAATATTAAGCAGGAAATTAAATATGGCATAGCAAATTTATAAAGAAAAGACCTAGAGGATAATTTAGTGACTGCTTTGACTTTCCCTTTATTGCTTCAAAGGGAAAATGTTTACTTAGATGTTTAAACCCTGGTTCTGTGTGCAGATTTCTCCTCTTCTTTTAGTCTTAAAGCCCCTCTAAATTTTGCTTTGTTGTGCATCTGCTGGGTTTGCCATCTCTAGTGAATCTCTTTTGTTGACTTTTCCCAAATACTTTAGAGAGGCTTTGCTATTTTCAGTTCCAGCTTCCTTCCTCCAAATGAGAAAAATTACAACCCTAAAAGCTATCTCTCTCTAGTCTCTATGCTTGGTTATGAAATTATGACAACTGCATGTTTTTCCAATCAGAAGGCTCCTTTGCTCCTTGCTTTCAGTGTATTACTTGCATTTTCTTTTTTGAGGACCCATTTTAATTTCCTTTCCCCTTTCCAAGTCAGTTGAGTACAGCTGAGGTTGCCTGCTCTAAAGCTCTTGCTCACTTGCAAAGTTAACAAACTACCTGATACCAAATTTTAGAGTTTATTTATTCAGCCTCTAGTTCCTTAATTATGAAGTCCCTATGTATGTTTTTCATATTTTCAAAGTTTCTTTTCTACTCTTCAGTCTAAAGATTTAATTCATTGTTTATGAAACCATTGGTTTATTCTATTATGTTATAAATAAAAATAAGCCACACCTAAAGACATTTTTTTAAGAGTGTTATTATAAAAACATACTTTGTAGTTATGATTAAATCAAAACTAGAACAAGGAAAGCTTTTCCATGTTTATGTTTTCTTCATGATTTTGCATATTTCATGTATTGATGCTTGGGTGCAAAGTTTGTTTCTTAAACGATAGCTTTGTATTTATAATGCTTAAGTTTATTTACTTTATGATAATTTTGAAATTTAGTTGAAAGAAGGTTGTCATTTTCATTGCTTCTAAAAAAAATTAATGGCGTTCATTTTTCTTATGGCTACTTTCTTTGGTAGTCAAATTACCTTGTTTTACATTTTGTTTCTCTTTATTTTCTCTCTGTACACTGTTGTCAGTTTTTTCCCCAGCATGTTTCTTTGTAAAAAAAAAAAAAAGTTGAATTTCAAAACTATTACATTGAAGTGTTAGGACTCTGTGTTTTACATAAAACTTATAGTTTTCAAGCTTTTGTTTAAAAAGATCATATAGCTAACAAAGGATAATGTAAATTACTTTTATTCATATGAAATTGCCAGTTTCAACAGTGTAGTTCCATAAAGCTAAATGTACAGAAAGATTATTAAAGGCAATGTGCTGATATGATCTATCCTTTTCTAGAAATGGAAATTCCAGAAAAGTCTGTTGATAACCAAGTTCTAGAAAACAGCAGAGGCCAGAGAACATCACATCAAACTCCTTGTGGCTCAGAACAGAATCGGAATACAAGGACAAGCTTTGGAACAGAGGGGGGCATATCACAGAATTTGGGAGCTCCAGTGAGTGACTGGAGTTCTGATGAGGAAGACGGGAGCAAAGGAAGATCCAAGTCCAGGTGCACGTCTACCCTTTCCAGTCACACATCAGAAGAAGGAGTCCAGTGCAGCAGGACGGGGAGCGAGACGTATCTGACAGCATCTGATGACAGTAGTTCCATATTTGAAGAAGAGACTTTTGGCATAAAGAGACCAGAACACAAGAAGCTTTATTCTTGGCAACAGGAGGCACAATGGAAAGCTCAGAATAGTTTTCTTGGAAAGGGAAATTCTGAATCAAGTAAAAAGGAACAAGATAGTTCCTCAGATGAACTGAATAAAAAATTTCAGTCTCAGAGACTGGATTATTCATCTTCATCAAGTGAGGCCAACACCCCAAGCCCTATTTTGACCCCAGCTTTAACTCCAAAACATCCTAACTCACTCCCTGGAAAAGGAACACAATTAGTGCCTTCATCAAACCTGCCACCCCCAAAGCTAAGGATTCCTAATGTTTTCAGTATAAGTGTAGCACTAGCCAAAAGGCACTTAAGCCAGCCACAGTTAAGTTCTGACAGGATGTTTGGTACAAACAGAAATGCGATAAGCATGATACGACCACTGAGACCTCAGGAAACTGATCTTGATCTAGTTGATGGTGACAATACAGAAATTTTAGAGAATATGGACACGAGTTGTGATGATGGATTATTTTCCTGTGACGCCCTGGAATCTCCATGTTCAGATGAGCAGGAAATCTGTGACTCTGCAAAGAAGGCAGCATGTAGCAAACCTCCAACTCCTCCCTTGCACCGTTTTCCTTCTTGGGTAATTATATTGCTTTGTGCAACACAGACACAGTAGATTTTCCTCAACACTCATTTTCAGGTTTTACTTCTTTTCCTGTTCCTTTTCAAATCCAACTTTGTTCAGACGTTTTCCAGTTTTCACAATATAATTTCCTCTTCTTTTCCCCCATTGAGTTCTGAATCAGTTGAGAAATAAGACAATGATAAGACAGATGGGAGATTAAAATATTATCTTATTTACTGATAAAACTGATTATAGAGAATTGGTGGGCAAATGAGCTTTCCAGTACTGAACTTCAGAATTAGCTAGATTTATTCACCCAGTCCCAGGCAGCACTGGACCACCACAGGCTTCTTCCAGTGTGGCCATGCTCCTCTAAAACTTAAAACCACAAGAAACAAAACAGATGCTTGTTTCCTGCAGGTAGCTACTTCTCATGAGAAAGGAAAGAGGAAGGTGCTGAGCTCCATGTACTAGTTTCTCCCTCTAAGCTTACCAATCACATTAAGCTACTCATTGTCTTGGAGGGGAGAAAGTGGATGATGGGTGGAGAGAGATGAGGAGTGTTCATTTACTGGAGTTCCCTCCACAGGGAAAGAAATATTGGGGGATAGGGAAGAAGAGTTCCCCCTAACTGATACTTTTGGGTTAATTCTGAACCAGGACAATTAACTATTCTTAGTCATCAGGTTTTGAACATAGTCCTTTACTCAATTGGCTTTCAGAGAAATTTAATTTTCTTCATGAGCTTATATATCCATTGCTTTAACCAAAGCATCCTTCTACAGATCTAGAATATATTGAATCTTCTTCCCTTGAAACATTGACCATTAATATGATCATTAACTGATCAATTGTGTGATTCTTCTTAGGAATATCTATATTGCTAGATTAAAAAAATTCTTCCTATATTTGAAACCAGGCAAAGTGATCAATTCTTACAGGTTTAATTTTTTCTTCACATATTGGCATAATTTAACCTTTGCCTCCAGGTAAACATCTGGGTTGCAGGATTTTTGGTTTTTGGAATCATATTCTGTTATTTTTTTTATTTCATGACTGAGGTAATTTTAAGCAAATTAGGGCAGCTGTGTTTTCCTTGTATAAATTCAGACCTTAAGATGTATCTGTTCTTATTTGCTTTCAAGAGGACATTTCATTTCAGTATTCACATGAAACTGTCTGGAGTTTATTACTAAATTCTGGATGGCACAAAAAAAGTGGAAGTTAATGGCATGTGAATCTCTGGAATTCCAATTATTTTATCCTGTAGGCATTGAGAAGTCAAAATTTTGCCTTTTTTATTATATTGAGATTTTCAGAGATTTAAGTTAGGCTTTCAAGTTTGTTTTATTTGGCAAACCATTTTACAACTTTTTTTCCTTTCTCTTTTCTCCTCCTCTACTCTAATGAAGCTATTCCTGAAAAAGCCTTCCAGCAGACTGACCAAGTTTAATTTCTGTGTTTGCTAGGTATTTTCAGGTTTCAAGGAAAAGAGATGTGTTTTAGTTACCTCAATTAATATGAGTTTATTTTAAGGATTTTTAGGAGTTTATTTTAGGGCATAATGTATCCTTATTGAACTGGAATATCATTCAAAATATAATAATCAGTGTAGTAGGACAACAAGTGATGATTCAGCAGCACCTCTGATAGTCAAGTCAGCTCCTTAGAAACAGATGACACCCATTGCCTCTGCTCCAGTGGCTCAGCTTGTCCTCTCAGGCCTATGGTGATTCTCTTTCTTCTCCTACTAACTACTCTCCCCGACTCTGTCGTGGCTTCTATCTGCCTCACATCTGCTTACTGCCTTATTTTTATGTCTTTCTATTCTGCCCACTCTTCTGGCTTGTGTTTGTGCATGTATCTCCCAATCACACGCTCAAAGAAACTGCATCTGATTTATTCAGTCAGCCACTCTTCAATCTCAAGTGTCCCTGATAGAGATCTCATGCCAGCTCCTTCTCAGACTGCCGGCCAGCCTGAAGAGGACAGCTTTAGTTGCCCACTATGTCCTGATCCAGTCAACTATGCCCAGGTTAGACCTACTACAAAATTCAAGACCTGGTGATCTATGCATTAAGAGCCACCTGGGGTCCCTTTCCTTATAGGGTAGGGTTGAAAGCTTTTCCAGACCTATTTCTGAGGTCTCTGTCAGAGAAAAAGAGAAAACAAAGTAACCTACTTTGGAACAAGATAATATAAATTCCATTGCAATTCTTACATGCTTACATGTTTGACCTTAGCTATTTCTTCTACTTGATTGAAAAGTACATTGAAATAAGAAAGTGATAGCATTTAATGCTACTCTATGATTTCTGACTTCGAGTTTTTCCTTTTTTTTTTTTAAACCATGTTCCAAATTCGTAGAATGTTAAAGGTGGTGTTTATGTGTAGTCAATGATTATGAATGGTTTTTGGCTTCATGCTACAGTCATTCAAGGTTTTTCTTTTCTTTCTTTTTTCTTTAACTATAATCTAGTATGGTAAGAATATTGAAGGTAGTGTTTACATGTAATCAGTGATTTCGAATAAGCTTTCTCTTATTTTTTCCCTGTCTTTGAAAGAATTTAAAATACTAGCCAAAAATTTGGGAAAAAAGATAAATAATGGAATGACTAATGGATAGAAGAAATCTCTGCAGTATTTTTCACAATAGCATATTTTACTTGGCCCTGATACTATTTTATAATAATGCTATACACTGGTGAATAATAAATGAGGAAGAAAAGAAAAACAATTGTATCAAAAGTAATCATTTATTTGCTTTAAATACCCTGTTCAAATCTCTCTTTTACATTAGGAAAGCAGAATTTATGCTGTAGCCAAATCAGGTATTCGAATGTCTGAGGCTTTCAATATGGAGAATGTGAATAAAAGTAAGTGCTTTTGCATGCTACAATGTGCATGAACCTTGAGGATATTATGCTAAGTAATAGTATAATAGAAAAACACAGTACACTCACAAAAAGACAAATACTCTATGATTCCATTTAAATGAGGCATCTAAAGTAGTAAAATTGATAGGAACAGAAAGTATAATAGAATGGTTGTTGCCAGGGGATAAGGGGATATTTGCAAAATGGAAAAGTTCTAGAGGTCTCTTTTACAACAATGTGAATACACTTATCACTACTGAACTGTACACTTAACAATGGATAAGTTGGTAAATTTCATGTTATGTGTTATTTACCACAATAAAAAAATATTTTAAAAAGTCAGGGATTTTATATTGCTGTTTCACTAGCCAAAAACTTACTAAATGTGTAAAGTCATTGGAATATATAGAATTACATAAACTTTCAACAAATGATTTCTAAGGTTGCTGATTTATATTTTAAAATTGATATTCATTTTACTCAGTAGATAGACACAAATATCTTCAATACTGATGTATGATTTTACCTGAAAGAAACTAAGGCAGAGAAACTGGCATTTTGACTATTTAAAATTATAAAAAATAGGCTAGGCATGGTGGCTCACACCTGTAATCCTAGCACTCTGAGAGGCCGAGGTGGGAGGATCGCTCGAGGTTAGGAGTTCAAGACCAGCCTGAGCAAGAGTGAGACCCGTCTTTACTAAAAAATAGAAAGAAATTAATTGGCCAACTGAAAATATATAGAAAAAATTAGCCGGGCATGGTGGCACATGCCTGTAGTCCCAGCTACTTGGGAGGCTGAGGCAGAAGGATGGCTTGAGCCCAGGAGTTTGAGGTTGCTGTGAGCTAGGCCAACGCCATGGCACTCTAACCCAGGCAACAGAGCGAGACTCCATCTCAAAAAAAAATATTGATCTCTGTATTCTTTTGTTTCAGGATTTAAAACACATTCTCCATTCTTTCCTTCTTTCCTTTCTTTCCCTTCCTCCTCTCTCCTCCCTTCCTCCCTTCCTCCCTTCCTCCCTTCCTCCTTCCTCCTTCCTCCTTCCTTCCCTTCTTCCTTCCTTCCTTCCTTCCTTCCTTCCTTCCCTTAAAGAAACAATGCATGCCCGTTACAAAAAATAAAACAACAGACAACTGTATGGAATAAAAAGAGAAATTTTCCTGTGGTTCTTTCTACCAGCCCCTCTCTATCCCACCACTAATTCTTATCTTACAGGTAACCATTAATGTTCTGTTCCTTTTCAGCTATTTTCTGTTCTTACCATTCTAATCTTTCAACATCAGATTCATCTGATAAAAGCTTAAGAAGGTTGATGTTTTAATACCATATTAGTAATAGGGCTATGAATAGTCAGAGATCATCTTCATACCATACTACTCACTGAATCAATCAGTAAGCAGTTGATTATACTTAGTTCTGTCCAGCCTGAGCTAGGTGTGTATGGAGATGCCAAAGAAATAAAAGCTGTGGTTCTTGCTCTCAAAGAGCCTATAGTCTAGCTGAGGAACTAGAACACATGAGGAAATTAAAAAAAAAAATGTAAAAAAGTACATAAATAAACCTGTAAATGCTATAATTCATAAAGTAGACTAATTAGTAATCACATCTGTTCATCTAATATGTCTTTAACTTGAAATTATATTAATTCATATTCATAAGAAATAGACCAATATGCTATTAATTGTTAGAAGGTTTTATTTTTTAAAAATGTTGTTTTCTGTTTCAGATTCTGTTGCAGTGCTTTCATATACTACATCGGGACTTTATACATCTCTGATATATAAGAATATGACAACCCCAGTGTATACAACTTTGAAGGGGGTAACTCATTATTGTTACTGTTAAGCATATGGTTCTCTTCATTGATGGATCAAGAAAACTGTTTATTCAAGCTCCAGATTCCATTCTTAACATTTTACACAGACTCTTCTTTTATAGAGAGTTTTAGATGTTCATATTTAATATGTTATAAAAAAGAAGAAATGGAAAGTTCTGGAGATGATACTTAATCTTATCAGAGTATTAAAGGTCTGAGTCTACTTTTGTTGTGTCCCATGTGATTCCCCTGACTACTCATGGCTGTTAATTGTTTAAAGAGACATATTATTAATGATGTAATGAAAACTGCTACTTTAGGAGGATCCTTGTGTCAGTGCCAGGGTACTCCTTTCTTGCTTGAAGTACCTAAATAAGGATCATCCGGTATTGACAACCTTATGTTTTCAGGAATCTTTTATAAATTGACAAAAGCCTTGCTAATTAGAAACATGACTTTGACAATGGCAAAATATATTCTTGACTTCCTATTAAAAAATCATATATTAAGACCTCTTCCTGTAAAACATTCTATATCTAAAGAGAGAGGTAACTTTAGGAATGAATACAGGGAAGCTGTTCTGCTTTTCTTTAGAAAGCAACTCAGATAAGTAACAGCCCTTTCCTGGATGACTCCTCCGGGTCAGAGGAAGAAGACAGCTCCAGATCTAGCTCCCGGACGTCAGAGTCAGACACACGCAGCAGGAGTGGGCCAGGCAGCCCTAGAGCCATGAAACGAGGTGAGGGAAAATCAAAGGCATACAAGGCAACTTCATCCCCATAAGAGGCTTTTTAAAAAAAAATCAAAGAACTTGCGTTAAACCATATTGAAAAGAGTGTTAGCCTAGGATTGAGACATTTATGTTCTAGTTCTAATTCTCTTCTTAATTCTCCGTGATTCCAAACAAATTATATAATCTTTTTTTTTTTTTTTTGGTTTGGTTTTACCCTTATCTTGTCTGTAAGAGAGACATCACTTTATTGTGGGAATAAAGTGAGGAAATTGGCCAAAATGAGGTTTATTTTTATAGTTACTGTGTTACATATTGGATAATTTGTGGGATAGACTTATTTCAGCTCAATTTGTCATCCTGCTAAATGGCAGAAAATGTACCTGAAAATTTGTTCTTTAATCTAATAATAAAGTGGAAACCAACCAAAACTTTACTTTGGTTGTGTCTCTGATTTTTAGTGGACGTTGAAGAAATTTTGGGTATAAGTGGAGGTTACAGAGAGATCTAATGCCACTAAATGACATCTTTATTTTATAAAGGCCTTTAATGCAATATGGCATCTCTCTTGGTTTCCAAATTGTGTTCCATGGAACTGCTGGGTACTTCCAAATCCCTCAGCTTCAACTGGAGCTGCTCAGCTTTCATCTGGTTAACGTTTTGGGCTTCCACTGGTTATTTATTTATTTATTTTGAGACAGAGTCTCACTCTGTTGCCTGGGCTAGAGTGCTGTGGCATCAGCCTAGATCACAGCAACCTCAAACTCCTGGGCTCAAGCGATCCTCCTGCCTCAGCCTCCCGAGTAGCTGGGACTACAGGCATGTGCCACCATGCCCGGATAATTTTTTCTATATATTTTTAGTTGGCCAATTAATTTCTTTCTATTTTTACTAGAGACAGGGTCTCGCTCTTGCTCAGACTGGTTTCAAACTCCTGACCTTGAGCCATCTCGGCTCTCAGAGTGCTAGGATTACAGGTGTGAGGCACCAAGCCTGGCCTTCCACTGGTCTTCTTGCTCTCACTTTCCTCCTACCCCCCTAACTACAGCCAGAATCAGGTTATGGCACATTTTTGCTCAAAAGACTGCAGTGGCGCCTTATGATGGCTATGAGATATAAGATATTTGACCTTATCTCCTCCTTTTTCCTTCCTTACTCAGTTTTGGCCTCACTGGGCCTCCTTCAGGACTTTTTGCACTGGTGTTTCCTCCACCTGGTATTTTTCTCCCAGATATCTAGATAGATGACCTCCTCACCTCCTTCAGTACATTGCTCAAACAATGCTTTCTCAGTGAAATCCACCGTGGCCACACATTGAAATTGCAATCCTTTGTCCTTTTATGGCTGGCTCATTTTATTCCCTTTCATGTGTTCTATTTTTATTTTTCCATAGCACTTACTGCCTGTTTGTCATTGGTCTCCCTCCACTAGAATCTATGTTCTATAAGGGCCAAAATTTTTCTGTTTTTTGTTGCTTTATCCCTAGCACCTAGGAGAGTGCCTGGCACGCTGGCCCTGGGACTAGGAGCCTAAGATTTATACTCCAATATTGCTCTTTCCTAACTATGTGACTTTGGACAAATTCTTTAATCTCTGGGTCTTAGTCTCCTTAGAGAATTAGGGTATTAGCCAAGACAATCTCTGAGGTCCCTTATAGATCCAAATTTTTGTTATTCTATGAAAAATAAAGATAGTATCATAACTGTTATGAATGCTGTCTCAGTCAAATAAAGAGTAGTGTTATGAGAGTGACATTAAATATCACTAAACACTTTAAAAATAGCTGGATATTATAATAAATAATGACCTAAGTCCTTGATTTTATTTAGAATATTCTACATCACCAATTGTAGTGACCCTCCAATGTGGCTTGCAACTCGCAAGTAATTTTCTATAAAGTCAAGTGAATTATTTTGAAAATATTCCATTGAATTTTGCTTTATAGTTGTTGGCAAATGAAATAGTCTGTTTATATCTTTAGATCTTATTGCTTCTCTTTTATGAAAGATTTTTTAAATCTGTAAAGTATTTAGTAGTTTATTAGAATTACATGAAAAGTACTACTGAAATTGTATTTTTTTAAAATGTAAAGTTACTTTAAAAGTGATTACAGATATTAAGCGGTTTAAAATGTGATTGTGAAACTCTCTATAAATTAAGGTTTCACATGTATTTTCCTACACATCAATGTGTACATACATGTATTTTTAATTCTTAACAAAATATACATCAGTACTATTGTATATATTTTATATATGTAAAAATAGCTGTGGTTGTAATCATTCCAAAATATTATTCATGTTCCTTTGACCTTCTTGGAGATTTGCATGACAGTCCCTACCCCTTCATGGCCAAAGGAATGAAAGTAAATCTAGTCTAGGGAGGCTTATCTTTTAGGAATAGTTGCATTCCATAGGAGAGCTCAGATCTGGCATTTGGACCACCAATATTGACTCGATTTATTTCTTTGTTCTTTTAGGTGTGTCTCTCTCCTCTGTGGCTTCTGAAAGTGATTATGCTATTCCTCCTGATGCGTACTCCACAGACACAGAGTACTCACAGCCAGAGCAGAAGCTCCCTAAAACTTGTTCATCTTCTAGTGATAATGGGAAAAATGTAAGCACTGAATCAGATATTTAAAGATTAATGAATCAGTTAGTTTGAGCCTCCAAAAGGAAACTTAAAAAATGTTTTTAAATCTTTTAAAATTAGGAACCACTGGAAAAATCTGGCTATTTATTAAAAATGAGTGGTAAAGTCAAGACATGGAAGCGGAGATGGTTTGTTCTAAAAGGTGGTGAATTGCTTTACTACAAATCTCCGGTGAGTGGAAAGTGCTTACTATTTAGAAGTGAATTCCTCAAACTATAAATCAAACTCCTGATTGATTTTCTTCTCTGTAATGTAATTAATAATACAAAACATTTATTATTATTACTATTAAAGTTAATCACTTTACATTTGATTTTCTTCCTTTCATACAGAGCGATGTAATTAGAAAACCCCAGGGCCACATTGAACTTAGTACATCCTGCAGTATTTTAAGAGGTGATAACAAACAAACAGTTCAGGTACGTAATTTTTTTTTTTTTTGTATCATGCAAAACTCAATTCTTAATTATCCTAGCTAATGGAAAGGACATTGGGTAATTCAATATTCCTTTAATGACTTTGGGTCAGTACTTTGATGCCTCAAAAGTATGTGAAACTCCCAGACTTTTTAGTAAATCTGTAACATTAGCTATAATTAATCTATAATATAAGCTGTTTGTGTTGGACAGCTCCCACTACATATTCTTTACCTTTCTTCCTTTATATTCTTCTTTCCTCGCATTTAATCTTCCAGGTATTTTCAGCTCTCAAACTGTTATGCTATTTTCGGGAAGGGTTATCTGATAAATGAATTCCCAATAAGATGTTAGTTGCATAATGTACTATTAAATTCAGAAGTGTTTGTATCTTATTGTAATACAGAATTGGAAAATAACAGTTTTTATATGAACTTCAGATGCCATAACACCTAAGTGGGAAAGATATTGGTGAGCAGAGAGGTTCTCCTTCCAGCTCACTCCATAGAGGTCCTGCTGCCCATTTTACCCACACATTGGCCAGTTTTTCCCAAAAGCTGTTACATTTAAAATGTGGGCTATTGAGATAGTCTGGTATATGTAATTTAAATTCAGATACTTTATTTCTGAAATGCTTTCAATAACCATTATTTTCTTGTATTGCTTCTTTGGAGGGTAGAAGACAACATTTGCTAGAAAGGTACATTATCAATGTTTCCAGTGGATTATACCTGAAAACTCAAAAATTCAGAAAGGAGAATCAGAGAAAGCTTTGTCTTGGGGTATGGCAGTTAAGAATCATTTGCAAACATCTAAAATCTCTAGAAAATTTGCAGTGTGGTTAATTTGAAACTGGAAAGTTATTATGAGTAAAGTAATAGATGATCAATGCAAGGTCTTCTCATTTTATTTATAGTTGATTTTATTCATTTATATAAAAATCCCTTCTCTTTAATTGCTAAAAAATGTGTTATTTTATTATAGTCTTCAATTATTCTGTTACTCATTTCAACAACCAGGAGCCTATAGCACATTTAAGGGAGAAAAGGAAAATATGACAATTAAACAACATAAAATCATGACCCCAAAGTTTAATGCTATGAAATATTTTAAAGTAAACTGAAGGTAAAAAATTATCTCTATAAAAATTTAATTATTATAATTTCCACAAAGTGGTTAAAATATTCTAAATTATATGGAGTCATTTATTTATTATGGAACCTAGGACTCAAGGTTTAGCATACTTGTTTCCATGTTAAATAATGATGTTTGAAGAATGGACAAGGAAATGCTAATAATCCCAAATGTTTACAATTTCCTCTCATATCCCTCTCATCCCATTTTAGTTAACCACTGAAAAACACACATACTATCTGACTGCAGATTCTCCCAATATATTGGAAGAATGGATTAAGGTGTTACAGAATGTTCTTCGAGTACAAGCTGCCAACCCACTTTTCCTGCAGCCTGAGGGCAAACCAACTGTGAAGGGATTGCTCACTAAGGTAGGAACCTCAGGTGCATAGCAATGTCCCAGGTAACTATGCAGATTAGCCCTACTTATGAAAAGTGGGTGTCAGCAAATATTTATATTATCTTGGGGTGGGGAAAGTTGTTTTAAGTACAATGACCAAGACAAGAACAATAAAGATGAAAAATGACAAATTTAACTATAATACATAAAAATGTAAATGCTCTATCAAAAATTATATAAGCATGATTTTGAGAAGAAGGATGAAAAACTTTCAAAAAGTATTTGAAACATCTGACAGCCAGTTAATATCTTTAAAATTTAACAAGCTTTGTCTAATCAGTAAGTAAAGGATGAATACCAGAGTGGGGAAATCGAACAGAAAACTCAATGGGAAAGAAATAGAGATAGTAGAGATGAGAAAAAATACAAATGATCAATAAGCTTATGGAAAAACATTTCATGATCACTAATAATTTTTAAAAGTGTACATTCAAATAATAGATGTGTATTTAAAAATGTGGTGAAAGAGGCTTGGCGTGGTAGCTCACGCCTGTAATCCTAGCACTCTGGGGAGGCCAAGGCAGGAGGATCGGAGGATCGCTTGAGCTCAGGAGTTCCAAGACCAGCCTGAGCAAGACCAAGACCCTGTCTCTACTATGATAAAAATAGAAAAATTAGCTTGGCCTTGTGGTGCATGCCTTTAGTACCAGCTATTTAGGAGGCTAAAGTAGAAGGATTGCTCAAGCCCAGGAGGTGGGGTTGCAGTGAACTATAATGCCACTGCACTCTACCCAGGGCCACAGAGCAAGACTGTCTCAAAAAATAAAAAAAACTTAAAAAATGTGAAAGGAAAGACATTTTTAAAAATTTTGGAACCTTGTATTGCCACAGATTAAGAAATCTGCTAGTGAGAGTATTACTCTGAAAGGCAATTTGGCAATGTCTTGGCCAAAGTATTAACTCAGTAAATATTTTTGAATGTTCAAATGAATATCATATATTTTAAAAACATATATATGCATATCCTTTGATCTACCAATCTCAGTTCAAGAAATTTATCCTTAGGAAATGGTCTTAATTTGCAAACAATTTTAGTGTGAGGATGTCAATCACAGTATTTTTTTTTTGTTATTTTTAAAATGGGGTAAAATTAACATACTCTGAATTGCACAAATCTTAAGTGTAGAGTCTGATGAGTTTTAAAAATATTTACTTTCACTCTATTCCCAAATTTCCAGATATAAGAATATTTTCATTACTCCAGGAATATTGCTTGTATAGCATTGTTTATAATAAAGAAAAATTAAGATCAACTTATGTATAGGGTCAGGTATAGCTTATATAACTGTTTATACAATAATATAATGCTTCCTTATTCAGCCTTTTCAATCTTGTAAAAGAATATTTAATACTATAGAAATATGTTATGATGTATTCTTTGGTGATAAGAGCAGTTTCAGTAATACATTATTATCCCATATTTGTTATACATATTCATATAAAAATGTCTGAATACATACATCATAAGTATATTGGTTATCTTTATGTGATTTGATTTGATTTTGCTTAATTCTGTTTTCTAACTTTTTTAGAACAAATAAGTATTGACTTATACTTAATATTATTTTAAAATGTTAAAAAGTCCTATTGGTCACTTTTAGAAAAATACAATAAGATATTTACATACACATAATCACTCATCGCTCATGCACTCTGTTACATAGGCAGTGAAAAATTTAAATGTAGAGGAGCTATGTTACCTTGTAATTTATCCTTAATAATAATGTGGGAATATAGTTGGGTGCTATTTAGTAATATTTGTAGACTGACCAAGTATAGTAAAGGTAAGAAAGAATTCACCATTGCATTAAACAAAGAGATGTATACTATGTTCTTTCCAAAACATTACTATGAAAATATTTTATCAGTTACTGATGGGTTAACTCCCTGCTATTGTGCAAATGTATTTTTTCCCCAGTGAACACAGTGCTACTTTAAATCACATTTTTTACAATAATTCATATTAGTGAGCTTTCTTCTAGTATCAAACCCTGGGAGTATAATATGATCCTGTGGCTAAGAGTTTATTACTTCTCCCACAATTAGGTGGGTTTGTTTGTTTGTTTGTTTGTTTGCTTGTTTTTACTTTATCAGAATGATATTGTCTATTTCTGCTCATAGTACATTTCTGTGATTCTGTTTCCCATTTCACAATTGCATTTTAAATGATTATGAGTTGATGTGATTCTGAGATGACTAAACCATTAGGGTTTGTAGATAGGATGCTTATTAAATTTCCTTCCTATCATTTGTGAAAACTTGTCCACCCCCATATTTTCATCCTCAGAGCCTTATAAGAGAAAAACTTCCCTCATGTATTCTGAGTGACTTGTTCCGAGGCTGCAATTTGAGATGTTGTAGAATAGCATTTGAAAACTTTGGAGGGGAGGAAGTTTTTTTCAGGTTGTCACATTGTTATTAAGTACGGAATAATATAGTTAGATATTAAGAACTTGACTAGTTTGATTCTGCATATTCACTCTTGTAATTTTTATTTTAATGATTAGGAAGAACATTTTCTGTGTGCAAATTCATTTCTTTAAAAAACCAAAAATTTTTTGCTCAGTTTACCACATGCAATGCAATGTGCTGGAGGGTATTAAGATAAATAGTCCACTGTCCTATTCCTCAGAGAGCCTCACAATCTACTGGGAAAGAGGGGTACATAAGCTTATTTACATAGTAAGTGTAAAGTGCCATTATTGAGATATATCATAAGATCACAGAGAAACAATTTAGACTGTGGGATTAAGAACGACTTCTCAGAGAAGATTTACCTGTGCTGAATCTTCAAGGAGGAGCAGGAGTTAGTTATACCAAATGGGAATGGTCACGGAAGGTACCCAGGCTAAGAGACAGTATGAATAGAGGCACAGAATCTTGAACAGTGCCACCTACATAGGAACAAGTTCTTTGGAGAAAAAGCTGGAGACCCTGAATATTTGTTTTGTTAAGGACTTTGGAAGATGGTGGCAGATAAGAAAGAGCTCAGGAAAGAGGAGCAGGTTTAGAAGGATTAAAAGGTTATTCTGGAATATGACAATTTTTAGAGCTTGTAAGGACATCTTAGTTAAGAAATCCAGCAGGCTGCAGAGCACCAGTCCACATCAGAGGAGAAGGCTGGGTTGGAGAGAAGGATTTGAGGAATCATCAGCATATATATGGCAGTTGAAACCATGAAAGTGAGAGAAATAACCCAGGAAAATGTGTAGGGTTGGGAGAGCAGGAGACTGTTAAGAGAACACTTAGAAATGGAAGGGCACAGAAAGGGACTGTATGCAGAGACCTTGAGAGTAACATCATGGAGGCCAAGGAGGGGAACATATGACCAGGAGGGACTGATCTACAGTGTCATGTGTGGCAGAGTGCTCAGGGAAGAAGGCACATTGCAGTGAGTGGGAGATGAGTAGGTGCAGCATTTGAGTTTGTAGGACTGTCCATACTTTCCAGCACATTTGAAAGAATCGAGCCAAAAGGAACATGGGGCTAGGGCAGGCATTTGTTTTGAGGATAGGAAAGACATATTCCTTGAGTTTACCAAGTTAGGGGGAAAAGCCAGGAGAAAGGAGAAGTGGGTGATTAGGAACAAAGTCCAGAAGAAGTGGGTGGGCAGGCAGGGAAGGGTTGGACTGGAAGAAAAGTGAGAAAGTGTATAGATGAATATTTAAGTTTGTGGGACATTGAGTGATATCACATCTAATGGCCTCAGTTTTTCTGATGAACATTACTCTATAAGACAATATTATTTACTGAGAGTGGAGAAAAGGATTGAGAATAATCATTCAGGAAAGTAAGATGTACACAAGGACAAGTAGAAGGATTAATAATTGTTACTGAGGGCCCACCTGACTTTAATGAGTTAAGTGCATATTGGTTATTTTTCTCTAACATTTTCAGATGACCAGAAATAGAAGCACAGAATTTTCATTGCAGTGATGTCAAGATAGTAATTTTTTCTAACATTCTATTATGTAAATTTTCAAATATACAAAAAAGGCAGAAGAATTTACAGTAACACCCATATTCCTACCATGTACTTTCTACAATTAACATTTTACTAACTTTATCACATCTCTTATCAAAGTGATGATTTGAAATCTATATTTTATATATAAAATATAAAATCTATATTTTATTTTATTTTTTGAGACAGAGTCTCGCTCTGTTGCCTGGGCTAGAGTGCCATGGCGTTAGCCTAGCTCACAGAAACCTCAAACTCCTGGGCTCAAGCCATCCTTCTGCCTCAGCCTCCCAAGTAGCTGGAACTACAGGCATGTGCCACCATGCCTGGCTAATTTTTTCTATATATTTTTTAGTTAGCCAATTAATTTCTTTCTATTTTTTAGTAGAGACGGGGTCTCACTCTTGCTCAGGCTGGTTTGGAACTCCTGACTTGAGCGATCTGCCTGCCTCGGCTCCCCAGAGTGCTAGGATTACAGGCGTGAGCCACCGCACCCAGCCTGAAATCTATATTTTATTATGGGCATTTCAAACTTACGTGAAAGCAGAGGGAATAATAAAATGATCCCTCATATATTCATCATCAGTTTCAACAGTTATTAACTATAGCTAATACTATTTCATATACCCCAACCCCATAACCTTCTCTCTCTTTCCACATTCTCCACTGGATTATTTAAAAGCAAATGGAGACGAAGTTTTTTTTTTATTTTTTATTTTTTTTATTTTTTTATTTTTTTTTTTTGAGACAGAGTCTCACTTTGTTGTCCAGGCTAGAGTGAGTGCCGTGGCGTCAGCCTAGCTCACAGCAACCTCAAACTCCTAGGCTCAAGCGATCCTCCTGCCTCAGCCTCCCGAGTAGCTGGGACTACAGGCATGAGCCACCATGCCCGGCTAATTTTTTATATATATATCAGTTGGCCAATTAATTTCTCTCTATTTATAGTAGAGACGGGGTCTCGCTCTTGCTCAGGCTGGTTTTGAACTCCTGACCTTGAGCAATCCGCCCGC